AAGAAAATGATTTCAAAAATGAAATAAGAAATGCCAAGCTGCTATATAATATCAACCAGTACCATTGGTATACAAGAACAAAAGAGGGAAACGATATGACCACTACCATGTAAATAGGATATAGACGGTATGCGTTTGACTCAGTGAGAGGAAATATGGAGAGTTCTTAACTTATTCACCCCTGAAGATGCATTTGAACTCTTCCAATTCAAAGGTTGGAATAGTTTATTATGAAAATTTCAGGGGTGAATGTGTAACAGCAGACATCTGTAATATGACGGAGGAGACTTCAGTTTGGGGTTTATCATAATGCTCTGTAAAATGACAGAAAAGTAAAAAAAAAAAAAGACTAATACTTTACGGATTATTTGTAATGATTTAAAACGAAAACAGAATGAATCAACTAACATGGTGTATTAATTCCAGCAGACATAGTCATAACATAAGAGTCATTTACTTGTGGACTGCGACCCAATAGAGATTCGAGGTGCAGGTTTTTTTTTTATCAGTACAGTCTGTAGAGGGTAGAATGTTGTCGTGCGTCTGATGTGGAATGGCTGAGATACGAGTATCGCGGTTTAATAGCGTAATAATTAGCAAGCGACGTAGATTTATGAACTGTTTCGTAATACACACTGTTTGTTATCATGGTAGGCAATCAACAATGTGCGTTGTCATAGCAGCCGGTGCCAATATTCTAAAGTGAATTTTTAAAACGAGCACGAAATCCCAATAGACTCATCAAAAATCAGGCGACAAAGTAGTTAGGGTATTTTTGTAAGGCGACACATTTCTGTCATCCAATCATTCCCTTATCTATTATATTACGTTGACTTATTAAGAAGAGTGAATTTAATACACACAGGTAGTTACAGAATGCCAAAAATGAATAAAACTGCATGCAACACAGCTGTTACGTCCTTCAAATATACATATATGATATTGAATACATAAACGCAAGGCAATAAGCATTCACCAGAGAGAGAGCGTTCTGGAACGCCGGTTTGTATTCGAGTGTGCTTGTATATGTAGGGATGTACCGGTATGTTCAGGTATAAGTGCGGCTTTTTTGATAAATGAACATGTGTGGTGGTTTATGTGTGGAAGTGCTGGTAAATATGCAGATTGGCTAACATATGCAGGTATATGTGTGCAGATATGCTGGCATATGTGCTAATTTGCTGATATATGATATGGGCGGATTTGCTGGCATATGTGCTGATATACTTGTATAGTATGTGCATATATGCTAGCACATGTGCGTATTTGCTAATATAAGCGAAGATATGCTTGTATATTTGTTCAAATGTGCTGGTACATACGGATCCGACCCCCTGCGTCGATGGAAGGTTGTGTCGAGTCTACAAGCTAGTGTTTTGACATAATTTGTATAGATAATATTATCTCGGTACACTCCCTGATAGATGTACTGTGAAATCGCTAATTTTCGTGGGATTCATAATTTCGTCGATATCGTGGGTAATCTTCATCCACGAATTCATTAGGCCATGAAGTAATTACAAGTTTGATATAAAGCACTTCTACGTCTAGGATGGGTACAGTACTCGTAATCCACGAAATGGTGTTTTGTCAGGGAAATAATGGAATTTGGGCCCCACGCAAATAGCTGATTTCACAGTATCTCTTTTGATCGTTGAACAGTGTTTTGTGTGTGTGAAAAAAACATAATGATATAGAATAGTTTGAAAGATAACGTGACAAGGTCGTCACTGTTCTTTTATGAATATTTTAATTCACCAATAATGATATCGTTCGGATAACAAAATGATCCACGTCGTAAAAGGACGAAACATCTTTATGATGCGGAGCAATTCATTTTCGCATGATGCATCTATTACTAAATTTTCAAAGTGCAGTCCCATGTGTGTTTGATGTCTCTATACAGGTGTGTATGTGTGTGTGTGTGTGTGTGTGTGTGTGTGTGTGTGTGTGTGTGTGTGTGTGTGTGTGTGTGTGTGTGTGTGTGTGTGTGTGTGTGTGTGTGTGTGTGTGTGTGTGTGTGTGNCTTCCCCCCTAATTAAATAGAAACTATACTACACGTCATACAATTAGCTTCACTTCTAAAAAATGATTAGAGTACGCCAAAATGATACACCACATAATTATGCAGATAGACAAAATGATGGACTGAAAGTCGATGCATACTACAAAACAAAGATTTGAGAAGACACCAAAACAAAAGGAAAGACAACACCAAGAACGGAGGGAAACATCAAAACAAAAGGAAAGGCAAAACACAGAGCTAAGGAGATGTCAAAACAAAAAGAAAAACATAATCAAGAACTGATGAGGCATCACAAAAAAAGAAAAGACAACACCAAGAACTGAGGAAAACATGAAAACAAATGGAAATACAACACCAAGAACTTAGAAGACATCAGAATAAGAGGGAAGACAACACCGAAAACGTATTAAGGGATTTTACGCACCGCCTTCAGTTTCAATAGCTGTTTTGAACTGTTTGATTTTCCATGTGTTTGGCCCTGTTTAGAGCTGTATGTTTGGCATTACCATTTTAATGGTGCAATCATCTGCCGGTGTTTCATGTTCATCTTTGATGTATTATCTTATTTTTAAAATGTCGACATCGTTCATGAAATACAAATTAATTTATCAAAGTAACTACGGGAATATCTAAATGGCAGAAATATGACGCCATACTTGACGTGTTCGCTTTAACAGTTGGGTAATTGAAGTGTTCATCACATCTACATGCAGCAGTAAGGAACGGCAGATGATCAACATGCTAATTACAAGTCACGCCATAAACGCTTCAAGGATATATATCTGCCCTACTCGTTAGCAGGAGAATCCCGCCCTCGCCACAGCAACGTGTTTATGTAACAGTCCTGACACATCAACAAAGACCAGTGAAGTGGGCTGACATGCCGCCATTGTACTTCTGGAACATTTATCGACGCTGACATCCGCACAAGGTAGCATTTCAAAGAAATGTATTGTGGTGTTTATAGATCGACATGTAAACAAATGTGGATATAAACAGTTAAGTAATTAGAGTGATTCGTTCACCCATTGTCGTCGGTGTTTTAACAGTTCAAGTACACATTTTATAAAACAGAAAGATAAAATCGGTCCGAAACGAAACGCAAAACATGAAGCGTTCTATATGATTCTAACATTAAAGAAGAAATGGGCTAGAATTTTAGGAAGCTTTTCTGATAAATAGCTTGTTCCTCGACGTTAGTTTTTGTGCATGGTTGTTGCTCGCCTTGTGATAAATTGGTATTGACGTTAGTTTAGTGTATGGTTGTTCCTCGACTTTAGTTTAGTGTATGGTTCTTCCTCGACGTTAGTTTAGTGTATGGTTGTTACTCGCCTTGTGATATATTGGTATTGACGTTAGTTTAGTGTATGGTTGTTCCTCGACGTTAATTTAGTATATGGTTTTTCCATGACGTTAATTTAGTGTATGGTTTTTCCATGACGTTTATTTAGTGTATGGTTCTTCCTCGACGTTAGTTAAGTGTATGGTTCTTCCTCGACGTTAGTTTAGTGTATGTACAAAAATAAACTGCAGTTGGAGAGGAACTATTGTGCGAAGAAAACGTATGTAAATGTACCGCTGCGTCTCCACTCGTCCCCAACGATGTTTCCCCTGCAGGTAGGGCGTAAGAATTGTACCTGCTGCCCCCATTGCATGATCGTAAGAGGCGGCTAAATTTTCTTTTTCCTATTGTATCCCTTGACAATGCCTCACCTTTTGCCTTTAGTTGAGCGTTCGCTCCTGTGAGGAAGGCTTTGGGTTCTGTGCCCTGGCCGAGACACACCAAAACCTGTAAAAATGGTAGTCACTACCCCTGCATAACGCTCAGCAATTTAGGAGTTGGACGACTGGTTCGCCCGTTGTCAGTATAATGTGACCGGGTGTCCTGCTGGGTGTCTTCGGCAGTATGTTTCAGTGAGGTAGCACAATAAAGTCGGCATCAGTTCCGCGCTATCACAAGGAGACAAACACGAACATATCGCAGCCTCCCAAAATACACACACATACACTACACGCATGCATCTTGCACACAGGGGAGGCCGTCCTTAAATGACCACAGCTGTTGATAGGACGTTAAACAATACTGAACCAAACCAAACCAAACCAAACCAAACCAAACGATGTTACTGGATGCCGATGAAGATGTTGTTTGACATGGCTCTTTGACATACCTGACTGGTTATTAGTCCTTTACTAGAATAGCCGTTTGAAATTTTGAGATAAAATCGTCACTTTTAAGGCAAAACACGAAACTTTCATGTAATATCTAGGACACCATTTGTATGAGGTTCGTTATTGGTAATATTTGTTCGATAATTAAATCTGGAAACAAAATGAACAAGTCGTGGGGTTCAAAATTATTACTATTATATTAATATAATATCCATCTACCGTAAGGGCAAGACAGAGAAATCTGAACCCGAGGGTTGATATGCTTAATGATCTTTCCCGTGACTTGTTCTAAGCCGATGGTTAGTCATTCAAGAATCTCACCCCGAGGGTTGAGATTTTCCGGCATACGCTCAACATACAGTTTGACTGCATTTCCCGATCTTATTAAAACAACTGACCTCCGTCATACTGAATCCTCAATCTGTGTTTGTTTTTGTTTTTTGTTTTTTCTCAATTTGCATTTGACCTTTCCCATCGAATGATGTTGTCACTTCATAATTTATTGTTCTCCTGACGTCATCGTAATGTTTCTTTCTGCGTTCCATCTCTCAAATCACTTAAGCCTATCAGGCTTCATGGTAAATATGAATGAACATTGATAAAAAACGTTCAATTCTTATACTTAAATTATAAATGATTAGTTATTCTTTAGCTAACTAACAGTTTGATTCTAACAGTTGTCTCGTGTTAATCGAGGCGGGAGTAGAAGCTTCAAAATGACGCTGATCGAATGGAGCTCATAGCTTTATGAACGCAATTTCTCATGGTAATGCTTATAGAGGAACTTGCAGTTGAAATGTAAATATTGAGGGTTACAGAGAATTCACATCCTAGGGGTGACAGAGAAATCTTGAACAGGTCAAACGGTAGACAATTTAAGTAAAAGTTAAGAGAAAACATTCACATACATTTTCATATTGTTTCATATTAATTTTGAATTGATTTTTTCAAATACTCAACTCTGAAGCATGCTTCAGATTCATTCAGATAACTATACGTCAAAATCAACAATTACGGAAAGAGCTGACAATAGTTACATCTATAAACAATGAAAATATAAATCGTGTAATACGTTACATTTCGAAAGAAAAGATTGAATAAAAGGTTTGATTTTGTAGACATGTCTTTGTCCGCCTTACAATAAGCTAATACTATCACAGTACAGTGTTAAAGGGTCAAATCAAAAGAATTGATATTCCAACACCACTGGTGACGTCATCATAAACTGGACATATTGCTTTTCTTATATTACCAAAGTCACTCACCATTGCTGGACAACAGAAAAAGGTTCTGCTCTTGGTATTCTGTAGATAATAAGAAAATGTCGTTTTTCCCATTGTCTTTACTGTATCGTTTTCTTCATAGAGACACGGGACTAAAAAATGAACACTGTTCATATAAAAGATGAAAATGACGTGACACTTTATAAAATGATCGAATACAATGAATATCGTGTATAAATCCGGAAATGTTTCAGGTTGATGAATGCAAAGGAATTGTTCCGGTTAGCGATGTCCCTCTGTACTTGAATCTAATGAAGAATCATACCACACCATAAAAACCAAAACCAAATTGTCTTAGAAAAATATGTAACAGACAATGCCATATACTAATACTACGAATTGGTGTCAGTACAAAAATAAAAAGTCAACTTCCGGTTAAGGAATCTTCAAGTTGTCTTTGTTTTGATTGAAGATTAACAGTCAATTGTTTATGACGTCATGGATTATGCAAAATTAACAAGCAGCAGGACGAGTGTAACGATGGAAATAAGTATCCCGCATGCGCAGTAGAGAGTTCCGCGGTCGGCTGCACTGTTGTTCGGCTCCTCTTCCGTCTCGTTCAGTGACGTCTGAAAAGATAAAACCACAACAATAAAACACAATTCACAGAAAAGCTACATTTTATTATGGTGTTGTTTATCAAATGAAATAATTCAACTTTAGCTATTTCGTGTTAAACCTTTGCCCGATGATCTACGGGTAAGAATTCTCGATATCATCGGTTTAAAACGCAGTCGAGAAACTACATGTACATACAATCGACATAGACAATGATGATTAATTTGACTGCTTTCGTAAGTATTGATTGTTTGTTTGCACGCGTTTTACGTCTTTACACTACAACAACTTATATCACACGTAGTCTCGTTCAACCAGACTCTTGTTGTCTGCGCAAGCTACGCCGATCTTGAATTACAAGTGATCAAGCGTCTGGTTGAATGAGACTAATTTCGTACGATGACAATGTCAAAACGGATGATGAGGACGATTTAAGGATCCCCGTATCGCTGCCAAAAATGAAACGATGAATTCAAAATACTTTTTTCAGGCATTACTGTAGGTTTGATAAATCATTTTCGAAAAGAAAATTATACCTTGCTGGACTTTAATGAAAACATAATGGAGATGAAATAACAACCTATTAACAACAAACGTGTTTAAGGAATAAAATATTCTTCGGGCCCAGATCGAGAGTCGAACCCTGTTATTGTTATACCATCGCTGAAACAGATTGACCTACCGGGATAACGGAAGTGTACGAGTTTCAAACTTACATGTGCTACAGTTATATCCAAACGGAAGCAATTGGAGGTTACTCTATATAGAACGAAAACACAGTGCATTTAAACAGGGACCCTAAAGGTCATTTAAAGTACCAACATTAAATTATCATCACGGTGGGCACGGCAACATGACAGCTCGTTACATTACTGTGACATCAGGCTAGAGGTACCAAGGGAAAAACTACAACGGAATTCCGCAAAATTGTATTGATTATTGTATATGATAATTGTATTAATTGTATATTATGTACTGTAAAGCGCTTTGGAGTTATGTTAGCTAGATAGGGCGCTATATCAAATGTTGTATAGTATTATCAAAACTGTTAGATAAGGGAGAAAAGAAGAGATAAGCGCGAGTTTCAAAGATAACGTTTTACACACACACACACACACACACACACACATGTGATTTAAAAAAATTGTAATAGATACAGTATGACAAAAAATAATCACCCTGCATCATACAGCTCTTTCGTCCTTCTAGGACTCTTCGGTGATGCTAGGGGACAAAAAGGTGAAATCCAAATTATCTAAACTACTGTTGAAACAGAGGAGTAAGTGCGTAAGACCTCTTAATTATGAATTTTGAAAATCAAGTGGAGTACTGGTAAATATGAAATTAAATGAATTGTGAAGTGTGTATATTATGAACCGTACCACGACTCAAACGGGATATCTGTGGCCGTCAAGATTACAGCAAACCTCGGGGACCAAATAATCCACTAGCAGAGTCTACCACCTTGGCAGGTCGTCATGGTTTATTTTCGGCATCGCCAGTTTTGGGTCAATATAAGTCGCCCCAAACTATCTATGTAATTAAATACAACCAAACAAGTGTGTCTTAAAAATAACAAACTTGTGTTATAGTTTGGTTATAAAATCATTCTTTAATGGATAGCATGAAACAGGTTACGGCTTTTTAATGGATAATCAGCAACGAGTCCCTTCCAATTAAAAATTGTCCGAGGGCAATAGTATCACTTGAAATTAGCAGTTCACAGGGCAATAATATATCTATATGACTAATAAAAAAAAAAAATATATCAATTTTTTAATTCATATCCCAACTATTGACCCTTGGTGCTTTAGAAAGCCAGAGGGAGCCATTTTGATGGAACCTTGTAAGACCCGTGGGAGCGGTTGCTCTATGAGGTTGCTTTGACGCGTTAGTTTATTTCGTTTTTGATATTAATGGGCTTTCGTAGCGCTCACCACTAGATGTCGCTTACATATAAACTAATATTATAATATGCACGAGGTGCTATTTTTAGAATGATATGAAACCTCATTAATCCAGTTGCCTTTGTTCGCAGTTCGACGGATTGTGAGTCGGCTGTGACGTTTTAACAGAGTAATAGAAATATGTCCTCCAAGACAATATTGGAGGCTGTTATAATCGGCTGTAAATAATAACGATATTATGTTTGCTTCTCTTTCGGGATAATATTTCTGTCTCCAACGACATGATCTTAATGAGGTAGGGACAGCGATTCTTTTAGTGTTGTATTATTAATAGCATTACGAATCCTAAAACACATTACAATCAATATCACGCATTATATAAAATCTCTCGACGCCTTAGCAACACACTAGTGTGTAGAGGTTGTTATAAACGATTAGGTTTTTTTGACAAGCACATGATTATTTTAAACATGTGACCTGCTCGAACACATGGGTCTTCTCCGGGTTCTCCGGTTTCCTCCCACAATAAGACCCCCGCGCGCTAACATCCGGGCAAACAAGAGTGATTAATATAAGTTGTAATAACGTGTTTCATAATTGTTGTAAAATGAAATAAGTTTACATTTACATTTATAAACATTTGATCAATTAGGGTGTGTGGGTTGGGGATGTTAATAATAAGGAGTTGTTTGTGGGTGTTCGCAATTCGCAATACTATACATTTGAATGATGTAAATGTTTTAAACTATTTCCGTCATCTGGAATAAATTACTCCGCACTGATAATATACGGTTATGTCAATCTGTCACAATATTAGTATTTTTGTACAAATCTATTTTTCTTCAGTTTCTAAAACGTACCAGCACATGTGAATGAATATTCGAGAAAAGTATTAAATAAAACAATACACGTTACCAAAATTGCCCTAGTTTGTCTGTATCTGCTAAACTTCACTTCAAATTCGTATAATTGGATTTTAAGGAAGGAGTTACATGCTCTGTCACCACCAGACTAGTTAAACTAATCGAAACAAGAAATGCAAGTATGTATACTTTCATAATATACGCGGAGAGATTTAAAAATGCGGTGATGCGGTTAATACGTTTTGTATCCAATCAGTGCCGGCTTCCGCCTGGTAACCAATGGTTATGGTCCAGGCACATAGTCCCCCTCTGTGATTGGTCAGGGTTGACGTGAAGATGGGATTACTTGAGAAAATACAGGGATGTTATTATTGGAAGACACTGTTTAAAGTATATAAGCGCCACCTAGCGAGAAAAAGTAATTTGTCACGCGGTGAATCAGAAGTAGACACGTGTGGTTTAACAGATCCCTAACGTGGCAGCATCGTACAAGACAAGAGCTGGATACACAAGTCAATAAGGAGATAATTCGACACAGGATAGACACAACCTATTCATCAGATGAAATAGACAAGGTTCAGGCAACGATGTTGCAAATAAAAACCCAAAATAAGAGAAAGAATGAAAAAAGGATCTTTAACGCCTCTGTAAGGTTTCGCTACAAAATAAATGTCTCGAATAGATACCGTATCGCATATTATTATTTTTATTATTCATCTATATAACACTGTATCTGATTTGATTATATTGATCACATTGCGGGAAAATAAAAGAGATAGTCTGCTTCACGCGCTCGAGTTTCTCCTGTGATCTTTCCTTTATTTTGAGTCTAGAACATTGTGCAAGGACCAATACACCTGAATTCAGAGTGACTGAAACAGACAACAACAATGGCGCATCAACCTGATCATCTTTACAGTTGTGTTAATTTTGGATTAATTACGACACTTGTGATAGGGAAACACGATTCTTTATTTCCCTTTAGATTAGTCATCGTGTTTCCCTATATTAAAATATCATGTCTATATCAGCAGCATATTGCCACATCCTCGGTCCCTTTTTGATACCCTTGTAAGTAGGGGATCGAGAAAAGAATACACCTGCTGTTACGAACTGTATGATCGTATATTAGTAAGAGGCGGCTAATGCGGGAACCCCCTGCATATTTGGGGATTTGATTTGTGCCCTCTGCTTTGGAACACAAAGGCGACCAAAATAAATATGCTGCATCCATTGCAATTTTTGGGATCTCTACATATCTTCCTACTTCTTACTACCTTTTGTTTCCTAGCGCCTGACTTGGCGATAACTAACTTTTGGATTTAATGTTGAACGTTCGCCCAGATGAGGAAGGCAATGGGTTCTGTCCCCATGCCGGGACATACCAAAGTCCTTAATAATTGTAGTTGTCATTCCCTGCTAAAAGTTCAGCATTTAGGGGAATGACAACAACTGCTTCACCCGTTGTCAGTATAATTTGACCGGTCTGAATGGTGTGCTTAGTGCTTTCGGCACGATATTTCAGTGAGATAGCACTATAAAGTCGGCATCAGATCCGCGTTATCACAAGGAGGCAAGGACGCCAACATACCCTGTCTCCAGTACACATACATACATGAAGGCACGTCCTTAAATAGCCTAGCTGTTGATAGCTAAGGTAATTAAAGTTCAACCAACCAACCCATTTTTTTAAGTCAGTCCTTAATTTGAGCGTTTTATACATCATAAATGTAGAAGGCCTTCAGAGCATTACTTTGTATGATAATTAAATTCCTTGTCAACCCTCTCTTCATCTCCAGTACAATTAATCAATGACCACGGAGAGAATGACAATATCTCTCGACTGTATAGACACGAGGCTCCATAACACAAAGTTCTAGTTGCTTAACAACATTGTAATTTAACGTTTGTTCTTCAATAATTCCTCCATTACCGAATATGGAAAACGACTTAATGGACATTTTAGGAATCCAAGAGATTTCCACGAAACAAAAGCCGTAAACATACATATTGATATACTTTGAATGGGTTACTTGTGTCGTAAGTGGTAGTCCCATTAAGCTATTAAATGGTTGTACATGTATGAGCAGACGATAGGTCGGAAGCCCTAACATGGCAATCGGCCAGACAGGGAAGTCCTTGAAGACTGGACTAGGCACCAACAAAACCAGGATATGAATATATGTAAATATGTGACAAAATTAAAAACCGACCGGGAACGAGAAATTCACTACAGATTAG